AATTAGTGTTTGCTCCTGTTGTACATGGAGTTGCTATAAGCTAGACCCAACCCAACGGCACCTAACAACAGCAACTTGAGTTGGAACCAACTCGATAGCACTTAACAATGGCAACAACAGCACGCATGTGTATGTTTTTAAATTTAATGTCAAGGATCATTTTTGGGGCTGTCTGGGCTATTATCTCTGCTTTGCTCGCTGGTGTATGCATCTGATAAGTTCCTTACAATCAGAATAGCAAATCTTACTTTATCCCTGGCCCCTAATCAGATTTCCAGCTCAACTCCATCTTTATCACCAGTCTCCTTTCCTCTCCGTTGGTGTTTAGTATTCTCTAACCCAGAGGAGCCAGACTCTCAGATTAAGCATTTCTCGAAGTTTACATATTGTAATCTCATCTGCTCATTTCCTTTGGCAGTCATTGTACATTTGGTAATTCTATTATTATTATCTATGAAACCATTTTGTTTTCCACAAGACTGTCTGGAACCCCTGCTGACCTATGCTTAAAGGTTTCCTCTGAAATGTACTGACGTTGTTGTTAGTTGCTGGCGAGTTGATTCTGACTCAGTGATCCTGTGTGTGCAGAGTAGAACACCTCCATAGGGTAGTCAAGGCTGAGGCCTTTCAAAACAGATCCTCAGGACTTTCTTCCATAGGGCTTCTTAGTGGGTTCAGATCATTATCCTTTCTGGTATTAGTCTAGCGTTGGAACATTTGCATTACCTAGGGGCTCCCTGAAATATACCTGTACTTAAACAACAAGCTTGAAAGGAACACATACGTACTTCTGTAACCAGAAAAGTGGAAGCTTCTGATTTTAATACTACACTTTAGATGCCTTCAAATGTCAGAGCTGTCAAACGATTCTTATTTGTATATGTGTGGTTCATTTCTATATATATGCATATCTATAGATATCTACTAGGTGCCGTGGAGTCAGTTCTGACTCATAGCGACCCTGTGTAGGATTTCTAAGGAGCCACTGGTGAGTTTGAACTGCCAACCTTGTGGTTCAAACCAACCTTGTGGTCCAGTGCTTTACCCTACAGTGTCACACTAGGACTCCACCTATTCCTCAGAAACCCTATACAGGGTCGTTACGAGACTTTCCACTCCTGCAAAGATTTAAAGCCCTGGGAAAACATATACATGGTCACTGTGATGAGTCAGAACCGACTCAACAGCACTTAACAGCAACCATACTTTACTTATGTTAAACACAGCTGCTTTCCCTGTCTCTGCCATTTGGGACTCTTGCTGCTTGTAGAGTCAAAATGAAAATCAAAATAGTACTTGAGCAGTTAAAATGGATTTTATAAAGTCTGTGTTGAAGATAGTTTCAAGAATGTGGAAGCTAGAGGACATGTTAACTAACCTGGAATAAGACTCCGTGATTTCCTGATGTGAGTCCCTGGATGATATGAAGGGTTATGTGCTCAGCTGCTGATCAAAAGGCCTGACGTGTAAGTCCACTCACAGGTACCTCAGAAGGAAGACCTAGGGATCTGCTTCTAGGAAATCAGCTGCTGCAAACCCCATGGAACACAGTTCTACTCTGATGCACATGGGTTGGCCAGGAGTCAGCGTCAACTCAACTGCAACTGTTTAATTTTTTTCTGATGATGAAATTGAGGCTGCAAGGGTTTCATTGTTAAGGAATTGAGGGCAAGAAGAAAGTAGACCTAGTACCCTGGCTTTACAAGCTCTGTTCAGTATGAGTGTTGACTAACAGAGCCCCTCAAGTCTTCCCTCAGCCCACACCTACACAAGCTTGATACTCTTGTGTTGTGTGCCCACAGCGCATTAGAATTAGCATATTGGATTAGAAGAGGAGAGAGGAAATGCTGCTGTTATAAATGCAGGTGGCATCAGGATTGGAGGAAGACTCATTAACAACCTGCGATATGCAGATGATACAACCTTGCTTGCTGAAAGTCAAGAGGACTTAAAACATTTACTGATGAAGATCAAAGAGCACAGCCTTCAGTATGGACTACATATCAATGTCAAGAAAACAAAAATCCTCACCACTGGACCAATAAACAACATTCTTATCAATGGAGAAAAGATTGAAGTTGTCAAGGATTTCATTCTTCTTGGATCAACTATCAACACTCACAGAAGCAGCAGTCAAGAAATCAAATGATGTATTGCATTAGGCAAATCTGCTGCACAAGACCTTTTTAAAATGAGCAAAGATGTCAGCCTGAGGACTAAGGTGCGCCTGACAACAAGCCATGGTATTTTCAATAACCTCATATGGATACAAAAGCTGGACAGTAAATAAGGAAGACCATAAAAGAATTGATGCTTTTGAGTCACGGTGTTGGAGGAGAATATTGAAAATGCCATGGACTGCCAAAAGAGCCAACAGATCCAGTCTGGAGGAAGTGCAGCCAGAGTGCTCCTTGGAGGCCAAGATGGGCAAACTTCATCTCTCATACTTCGGACGTATTGTCAGGAGGGACCAGTCACTGGAGAAGGATATCATGTTTGGTAAGGTGGAGGGTCAGAGAGAAAGAGGAAAACCCCCAACGAGATGGATTGACCAAGTGGTAGCATCTATGGACTCAAGCATAGCAACAGTAGTGATGTTGGCCCAGGATTGGGCAGTGTTTCGTTCTGCTGTGCATAAGGTCACTATGAGTCGGTACTGACTCAATGGCACCTAACAACAAAAACAATCAAGCAAGAACTGACGATAAATAATGAGGTCAGAGCATGGTCACAAAACCTAAGCCCAACAGCCTGAGACCATCCATGAACGGTCAAAGAACTTACTTATCTAAAAGCCCTACAAGTCACTGCTGCCCTGTAGGACCACGCAACTACTGGTGTTAGTAGAAAGAAATCATTAAGAAATGGATGCATTATGCCTACCCTTGGTGATCTAGACAAACAGGGAAATGGATCTAATTTTTGGATTTGTTATTGTTGTTAAGTGTTGTTAAGTGTTGACTCAAAGGGACCCTGTATTAGGTTTCCAAGGAGTGGCTGGTGGATTTGAACCACTGACCTTGCAGTTCAAACCAACATTGCATTCGAGCGCTACATGACCAATATTTGGAGTAGTATAGATAGGTAAAATGAATAAAATTGAATTCAACAGCTGTCTAACTGTATACAAGTAGTGCTAATTGTGTTTCCTGCCCTATTCCAGGTCAGTGGACATCCACCAAGCAAAAAAAGTGATTTGACATCTTTCTTAATTAAGCTTTCTATATCAAAGAAGAAGAAGAAAAGTTAGCTATCTGATGACTTTTTACTTAAAGCATTTTAAAGGGCTTAATAAGCACTATTAGGGAATTGCTGTTGTTAAGTACTATCAAGTTGGTTCCAATTCATGGTGACCCTGTGTTGGGTTTCCAAGGAGCAGTTGGTGGGTGGTTTGAATTGCTGAACTTTTAGCTTACAGTCCAGTGCTGATCCTATAGTGCCACACCAGGAGACACAATTAAATATTCCTTATAGGAATAATCCAGGTAGCTGCAAAAATAATTCATGAAGAATTTTCCTAGGTGGAAATCTACTTTGTATATTTAGAAGAACAGAGGCTGAGACTTTGGTTTCTAGGTGGCACATGAAGGTTTGATATTAGTGCTAGACTCACTTCCCTGAATGGGAAGTATTGAATCATTTGACTGACATCCCAAACTCCAAATGTAGGCCTCAAGTAATTTAGTTTTATCTGAGGAGTTAGTTTGGTGTAGTTTTCTTATCAAATTGATGGGAGAAACGGCCAAGTTCTAAGCTTTAGAAATAAACTTGTTGTTGTTGTTAAGTGCCGTTGAGTCGGTTCCGACCCATAGCGACCCTGTACAGGGTTTCCGAGGGTGTAAATCTTTACGGGAGTAGAAAGCCTCATCTTTCTCCCACGGAGCAGCTGGTAGTTTCGAACCGCTGACCTTAAGGTTTGCAGCCCGATTCGTAACCACTACGCTAACTTCTTAGGGGAGCACTAATATTTTTGCATTAAGTCATTAATCTTTATAAGTAGGCAGTTGCTGAAATTCCAAAAGGGATGTTTAAAGCCTGTTGAACTTGTGTATCACAGTCAAGTTATTACAATAAAATATCACTTTCTCTGTTCCCACATACCACCACCCTGCAGATACTCATTAAAGTGAAAATATAATGTAAAGTTCTGGGAAAGATATAAACACAGACAATGACACATGAACAATGACACGTGAAGGAGCTTCAAACAGTTCATGGAAAATTTCTACTATCTTTCAGTTCCACTTTGCCAAGAACTTGCTGAAGCCCCCTTATGTGTGTGTGTGCATTTGTTGTTGTTATTAGGCACTGACGAGTTAACGCTGACTCATAGTGACCCCTGTCACAGAATCAAACTGAGCCACAGGGTTTTCTTGGCTGTAATTTTTATGGGAGCAGATCACTAGGTCTTTCTCCCTTAGAGCTGTTGGGTGAGTTTGAACCAACAACCTTCTGGTTTGCAGCTGAGTGCTTCACCATTGTGCCACCATCTTCGTTTGTGATATTTTGGTAGTTTGCTTGTGTACTGTGCCACCTGTATTTCGAACACCAGCAGGGCCACGAGAGTGGATAGGTTTCCATAGTATGTCTAGACTAAGACAGACTAGGATGAAATGCCTAATGATGTATCACTGATAATTAGCCATCAAAGACCCTATAGGTGACAAAGAATACAGTCCCACATAGTACTGGAACATGAGTCCCCTAGGAAAAAGGTACTCCAAATACACATTGCTCATAGCCATGGGCTGGAGCGTACCAGTGGTCGTGAAGATGATGTAGGACCAGGTAGCATATTGTCCACTTACAGATGGGGTCTCCTTGAGTTGGAACCGATGTGACACCAACTACCAGCATCTATACCTTGCTATACATCTAGCTCTGTGTACGGCTATCTAGTTCTGTTTGATTTTGAACTGATATTTATCTTAGGTATGTCAGCAGAAACTTGGAACTTCCTGTCATCACTAAGTCTCTTGTTTTCCTTTGTTTGCATGCAGACACCTGGGCAGCCTTGTGACTGTGTTATCAAGGCAGCATATGCGCTGGCTCTGGAACATTAGCGGAAGGAGGCCCTTCTGGATAGGCAAGTATCAAGGACCCCAAGAGACTGAAATCTCCTTCTCTGCTCCCTTTGTGGACCAGTCAGTGTGACTGTGGTCTGCCAATCACGGCCAATGGTCTTAAACCCTCCCTTAAGCCTTTTGACACAGTGCTTTCATTTTAAAACATCTATTCCAAATAAATAATTAGCAGTATGGTCAGATTTATAGGTAAGAAAGCTTACCACAATTTCTGAAAATCGGAAAAAAAATTAGAAATTGCTATAAATTGGGGATGGTTAAATAAATTATGGTCTAGCCATATGAAGGAATATTTAATATTTAATGCTTTTGTACGGCTTTAAATATTAATGACATGACAAAATGCCTTTGGTTAATTTTATTCATTTATCCAATATATGTTAGATGTGTATTCGGCTACATATAAAATTTGCAATTTATTGCAATTGTGGAAAGTAAGTAAAACGTGGTCCAAAGCAATATAAGGCATGAAACAATTTAGAATGAATTTATATGCACGTGGAGAATGTATAAATAAATGTACATATCTGTATGTTTGTGCCAAAATATTAGAAATGGTTTGCCTCCAGATGGGAAGTAAAGATAATCTTGATTTTTTTCTTAATTGTTAATATTTTCTACAATTTTCCAGCAGTAACAAATTTTTAAAAAGCCTTTTTAGAAATAGAATCCTCATAGCACATTAAAGTCAGTATTCCCACCACCTTCTCGTACAAGTATTATATTGAAGGGAACTGTAAGAAAGATGAAGTCCTGGTATGGCAATGTAGGGTAAGCACGGAACTGCTAACCGCACCAGCACTCCTCGGAAACCCTTTACAGGATCGCTATGAGTCAGAACTGACTCAACTGCACTTAATAACACAACAACATAAGAAACACAGTGTTGCCTTCTCCTGGTGGATACATTTTTGCTACATCCACAATGTCTGATTCTAAGGCTCTCTCCTCACAAAGTAGTTAACATAACATTATCTTATGAATATAGTTCCAGGAAACACACCAAGAGGAGAATAGCTAACCACTTGATTCCACTCAAAAACATGGATTGAAAAATCAATCAGGGAAAGGTAAGATGCTGTGTAATGAAGGCTGTTTTTCACCATCAAATTGAATTTGGGAGATATCAGACCCTACTATTCCAGAGCATCCTATCCTCATTCCATTCTTTTTAAATTTCAATTAGTAAAGAGAGTCAGTGGGAGGAACGTTTCTTTAAGAAACTATGACGGCAGCTTTACAATATTAAAGTGCAGCTTGCAAAAGCGACCAGTGGGAGGGAGTAGGGGGCAAGGAGAGAAAAGCTGTTTTTTATTGGCATTGTAGCAGATTGAAAACTCCTAAATTCCAGACTAAAAATAATACATAGAAAGCTGCTTTCAAATATAAAAACCAAGATACCTAAATCATGAGGAGGAACAATAGAAAAGACTATACCTGTTTCTCTTTGTCAGGAGTTCTGTGTGTAGGGCCACACGGATAATAAGAAACGAACAGCTGCTCTTTATTAAACACCTATATGATGGGGCTTTGAAAGGTTTGTGGCAAAATGTAACGATAATGGAATTTTCCCATGAACTTTTTAAAGTCCTTCGTATATGTCAAGAGCTTTGCATGCATGATCTTATTTGATCCTCCAAACAGCCCTTGGTGTACTGTTTTTATCCCCACTGTTTAGATGAGTTTTGGAAAACCCAGTGTAAGTTTCTGCCCACAGATCGTCAGCCAGCAAGTGGTGAAGCTGGGATTTGAACTTAGGCTTGCTCTTAGTTCTGTCTTATAGTATTCCTAGCACCTATTACTTGTTTTGGAATCCTGGTGTGGCACTGTAGGATAAGCATTAGGCTGCTAACTGCAAGGTTCAAACCCACCAGCTGTTCCTCAGACCCCCTATACGGGGTCCCTAGGAGTCGGAACTGACTTGATGACACTTAATAACATCACTGCTTGTTTTGTAGTCTCTGGATTGTGTAAACATGTAACACAAATCTGCTGACTGAAAGACTGGAGGTTTGAGTTCACCAGAAAGGTCTGGTGATCTACTTAAAAGAAAAAACACCCAGCGATTGGAAACCCTATGGATCGCAGTTCTACTCTGATGCACACCCTCGGGTTTAACATGAGTCAAAATCTATTCAATGGTTATGACTTGTTTTAGAACCCAGGTCCATGTATGCGTGTGATTCCTGAGTTTCAAACAACAGACTGCATGTGATATTTATGTAATAAAATAATTTCACAGGGGTTTTGTTTTTGTTCACATTAGGTTTGAATGACCAAGTACACATTGGCCACTGGGAGTGGATTGGTGGCGAGCCTGTCACCTTCAGCAACTGGAGGACACTGCCCCCTCAACCTTCAAAGCCTGGAAAGAACTGTGTTTTGGTTCAAAGACAAGGGAAATGGCAAGCCAAGGACTGTAGGCTGGGCAAACCTCACAGTTATGTTTGCTCCAGGAAACTCCCAGTGTAACTGGCCTTCTAGGTGCTCACCTGCGATTTCTCACCTCTTTATTTATAGGAATTATGAATATTGCTCAAGAGAACACCAATGGTCATTACTAACTTCTTGCATTTTTTGAAAAATCATAGTTTATGAATGATTCTATAGTGAAAAATGGAGCGTAAATTAATTGTTCCAGAAAGATTGATAAAGGAATGTTTCTTACAAGACAAGGTATAATGTATGCATGAAAAAGCTTTAAAAGTAACAGTATTATGAGGTGTAAGATTTGCTTATTCCAGGAGACATGCTTTGGCCCCTGAATCTCTGGCAGTACCAATATGGTCCTAGGAATGTTTTGTTCCATGGCCTCAAATGAGTCCGTTCTGAAATCTGTACTAAGGTGTTCCCACTTCAGTCTGAGGGAAGTTAACTCTCTCTGTTCATTGACTGTGAATTGCAAAAAGTTTGTTTGTCCCTTTAAGCCATTTAAATGCAAAAGCTGAGATTAGAGGCTATAAATAGAAAAGAAAAAAAAATGGATTTGCTCTTTAAAAGGAGTGGCGACAGAGGAGGAAGGTTTTAGATGGGAGGACCATTCTGTGGAAGCTCAGCCTGCAAAGCTCTAGTTCAAGTAAGCATTCAGGGGGCCCTTTGTACCCCCTAGGTCTACGTATCACTAGCTGTTTATTAAACACGTCACTTTGGCCAATAAGAATGTTGGCATTGAACCGCTTCAAAGCTAATGATTGGGTTTCCCTGGCCATGAGAAGTTTCAAGTACCATGAGTCTTTTTCTTCACCCCCATGTGTAGTACTGACTGGCATTTCTCAAGGACATTTGAGAGAGAGATAGCATATATGAACGATGGCTGACATATGGAAGAAAGATGTTGCTTCTTTCGAAGTGTGTTAGTGAACCGTACTGATGGACAAAGAAAAATAATACTGAAAACAGAGCTCTTGAAAGTCTGTATACTGGGAGAAAGATTTCAATGCCATTTTACACCCTTAACTCTTTCATCTTTGTTGAAACGCCATGCTAATTTGTTGTTCTGATGTAAAGGAGCCTTATAAAGTCTTAGTCTCAATTGAGGAAAGCATTTGTAGCCGTGAAGCATATTGTAGCCTTACCAGAATTCTCTTCTGAAATCCAAACTCTAATTACAACAAGTTACAACTTTACTTTTTAAATAATTGACTCCACATTTTTCTCTTTTTCTAACCAGTGAAAAGTTTGGTGATGCCAAATGTAACATCAGACTCAAAATGGGTGATCAAGTAGACTAGAAATAATGTACAGATTTTATTATAAAAACACCTGGCATGAAACTAATAACAGTTAAAGAAATTCAGTCCAGCTTTGCATATTAAAAACATACTGTTGTTAGTGTTGTTATTAAGTGCTGTCGGGTTGGTTCTGACTCATAGTGATCCTGTGTGAGGTCTCCGAGTCTGTACATCTTTGCAAGAGCAGAAAGCTTGATCTTTCTCCCACAGAGTGTCTAGTGGACTCAAACCACCAACCTTGTGGTTTGCAGTCCGGTGTTTATCATATAGCTCTACCGTACTCCCCTAAAAACATGGTAAGCTTCCTTTATTTCTTCTCATTTATCAAACTTTTGATTAATGGAAAAATTTACAGAGAGAGGTTAGGATAAGACTCAGCTAGTCTACCTCTTACTTAAATCTGAACATCATAATTGAGTCAGATTATCCCTTGCCCTGATGGGACACTGGGGTGATGTATGGGTTCCCCTTGTCACACAAGCAGTCTCTAGGTTTAACCCAAAGATATCAAACCTACCTTCCTGGACCAGCTCCACTCGGTTTCCATTTGTAGTGGGCAGAGGAGGTATGCAGGTTAAAAAGAGATGAGTTACTGATCTGAGAGTAAAATGCTAGGAGGGAACGTGGAAATGAAAGGAATGAGGGATTCAAGGACGGCTCCTCCCTGCTAGAACTCTAGAACCATTCATATGCTCTAAAACTGGAAATACTGAGTTCTGTCCAGTCGGCATAGTAGTAGCATGTCTGAAATGAAAATATCTCAATATAATTGTAAATGTTAGGATAAAAACAATGTTTTGATTTTTATAGCATCTAGAAGATAACCACTATAACTATGGTATAAAAAACATACTATTCTAGAACAACCATAATATACTAGGAGAGTATTTTCAAGTGTTCCTAATCATAGAAGCATTAGCTGAGTTGTAAAATCTAAGTAATTGAAGGAAAATTCATATGAATAATCAGGCAAGCCTGGGTGCTGGGCAGTTGTGATCTTCATGTCTTTCTTTGGCTGGGGCTGGAGGTGGGTCGGGGACAGGAAGTAAATGCTTGCCTTGGTTCCTTCAGTCTCGATTTGCCACATCAACTTTGCAGTTTCTGGAGTGATGGGCAGAATGGGAATGCGAGATTAGAGGAGAGAAGAGGAAAGATGAGAGCAGGGTTGAGTAGGAGAAGATGGGAGGGTGAAGGTAGCTGGAAGGAGGACATAAGAAAGAAGGACTCAAGTGTCACCTGGCTCATCTTCCCAAACTTGAATTTCAACTCAAGAAAAGTCCTACTTTATCCACAGACATCAACCCAGTTCAATAGTGAATAATGTTTCATAATCTTCTGAGTTTTGGTCTTTAAAAAATATACTGCCTATCTTTGCTAAAAATAAGCTTAAAACACCATATGATAATCATTTTACCTCCTTCCAAAAAATAGTAAAAAGGAACCAGATAACATTTATTTACATGTCTGTTTTTGCTTATTTTTTTTTTAACACAGCCAAGAAGAATATATACTGTATTTTAATTAACACTATGGTTCTGTGTAATTTAAACCATAAATGGGTGCTGATCAATTTTCTTCAACAAGGCAGCATATTAAATGTACTGTACCTATTGTTTTATCAGAATTAATAAAATCAACTTATTTCTAGTTTTGGTCCATTTTCCTTGAGTTGTTAACATTTTGTGTTTTTCTTATGGACACATGAGTTTCATGTTTTACTGATTGGAGCCATTGTTGTTGTTGTTACTGTTGTTAAGTGCCATCGGACTTGGTTCCAATTCCCAGCAACCATGTAAAGTGTTTCCGAGCAGTAGCTAGTAAGTTTGAACTGCCTGCTTTGCGGTTCAAACCAACCTTGAGGTCCAGTGCTTATCCTACAGTGCCACGCAAATCATTAAAATATAAAGCCCATGTGTCCACACCAGCTGCTCCTCGGAAACCCTATGCAGGGTGGCTCTGCGTCAGAACTGACTCAATGGCATGCAATTACCACAACAAAAACCCATTGTCAGAAAGACTAGGGGAGAAAACACAAGATGTCTCTTTTACCCTTTGAGTTTAAACTAGCCTTTAGCTGTGTGACTCCCATCCATCTATCCACCCACCAATTCTTCAATAAGTTCCCAATATGGAGTGTCAACCCTGATACTTCTCTGCTGGATATATTAGGGTGGGAAAGACAGGGAAATGAAAGTATAAATCACAGCTCCGATGTGCACATTTCTTATACATTTAAAGTTTTTATTGTGAATTAAGTGATAGTTTACATGGGAGAACATCGGTTTTACACTCACCCTATTGTATTTCATTTCACTGCAATGATTACAGTGTCCTCCATGCATCATCATTCAACAGTATTTGCTTCTATTCCCTCTGTGTTTCTGTTTTTGTAATTTTTAAAAAATGTATACAAAAACACTCAGGAATATATAATCATTTAAACAACCAAAGGGCACATTCTGCAAGCCTACCTGCTGACTGCCAGCACACAGCCTTTCTCTTTCCATGAGTCTAGAGTCCTCAGCTGCTCTATCTCTCCAGGTCCTCATCTCTGCCTCCATCTCTGGTGTCGCTGCTTCTCTGGAACTGTAAGACTAACTACTCCCCCCTTTTTGTTACAAAACTTCTACCTTTACAGTTGTGAGTATCGCAACTGGTCATGATAACAATTACTCACTTTTGAATCATAAGAATCTTCTTTCACCAGACCGTCTAGACAAGAAAACATAAACCTCAAAGTTTCTCATCAAGAAGGAAGCTGCCATGGAACTCGATGACACTGAGAACTGAGGGGAAGCATATCAATCCAACAGTGGAGACTGTCTTTTGTTGTATTTCTCTCCCAATTAAAAAACTGGAGATAACATCCTGAATTTATAATCAGGTCAAAGTGCTATCAATAGAGCTTGTCTCCAAAATCAGATTCATAACTAAAGTTTTTATGAGGGTGCTTCAAAAAGTTCATGGCAAAATTTTGTTGTCTTTTAATTCCATTTTTCCATGAACTTTTTGAAGCCTCCTTATAAATCTAGCTAACTGATTTTGTAACTGTTCCCTCAACTCCACTTTGACTCCCCCGCCCCCCACAAAACAAAAAAAACCCCACAAGTAATATGTGTCTCTATTTTGGAGAGTTAGTTTTGGGGTAACAAAAGAGAGGTCTGTGAGCCAGCAGTATCACTTGAAATACTGTTTTTGCAACACAGGAAACTAAGGTCATCAGGGGTTAACTTTAGAGGTCTTCTAAATTATCGGCTGTATGTCCTCTAGTTATTGCACACATTTAGTACCAATGAGTCCTGGTATGGCACTGTAGGATAAGCCCTGGACTGCTAACCACAAGGTCAGTGGTTCAAACCCATCAGCCACTCCTTAGAATCGCTATACAGTGTTTAACAACAACAACACCTAGTACCACTCGGAGAAAACAGCTGTATTATGTGCAAGGAGAAGAACTCTGAATGAGGACTATGACACCATTCAGTGTATACTTGAAAACATTATGGTAAATCAAAGAAGCCAGATACAAAAGGCCACATAAAAGAGTAAGTTCAAAATATTACTACTATGGTTTCAGTTTATACAAGTATGAAATTATCCCAAACAAACAAATCTAAACATGTCTCTGCAACCAGTGGATGGCAGCAGACAGGTTCTTCCAGCAACACACTTGTCTTCGAATCGTGAAGGTGCCTTTAAAAAATAAAAAGGGCCCAATCAAACCAGTCACTTGGGAGGATC